AGTTCATCTCGTTAGAGGGGGTCTTCCTATTTTTTGCTAACCATCCACTTTTCCAAGCATACTGTCTTCCCGGGATTGGTTCCTCCTAATAATATGTCCAACGTATAAGAAGTCTTGCCATCCCTGCTTCTAAGGAACAGTGTGACTGTACTTCTTCCCACACATCTTTGCTTGTTCTTCTGAGAGTCCATGGTGCCCCCAATATTCTCCTCCAACACCATAACTCAAATACATCAATTCTTCTATGGTCTTCCTTATTCATTGACCAACTTTCACATGGATATGAGGCAATTGAAAATACCATGGCTTGTGTCAGACACTCCTTCATCCCTAAACTGACATCCTTATTCCTGAACACTTTAAAGAAGTCTTACGTAGCAGATTTCCCTAGTGCAATACATCATTTGATTTCTTGACTGCTGCTTCCATAAGTGTTGATGGTGAATCCAAGCATAATGAAGTCTTTGACAATTTCAGTCTTTTCTCCATTTATCATGATGTTATTTAGTGGTCCAGTGGTGAAGACTTTTGTTTTCTTCACATTGAGGCACAACCCATTCTGAAGCCAGTATTTTAAGTCCTCTTCACTTCCAGCAAGCAGGGTTGTATCATCTGCATATAGCAGGTTGTTACTGAGCCTCCCTCCAATCCTGGTGTCACATTCTTCTTCTTCATATAATCCAGCATCTTGTATTATTTGCTCAGTATACAGATTGATTAAAATATAGTGAAAGAATACAGCTCTGATACACACCTTTCCTGATGTTAAACTGTTCAGAGTCCCTCATTCTGTTCTAATGACTGCTTCTTGGTCTATGGACAAGTTCCTCATATGTACAATCAATTGTTATGGAATACCCATTCTTGACAGTGTTATCCATAGCTTGTCATTATCCACACAGTCAAAAACCTTTGCATAGTCAATAAAGCACAAGTAAACATCTCTCTGGTATTCTCTACTTTCAGCCAAAATCCATTTAACATCATTAGTGATATCCCTAGTTCCACATCCTCTTCTGAACTCAGCTTGAGTTTTGGGCAGTTCACTGTCAATGTATGTTTGCAGCTGTTCATTTATTATCTTCGGCAGAATTTTACTTGTATATAATATTAATATTGTCTGATGACTTCAGCATTCTGTTGGGTCACCACTCTTTGGAATGAGCACAAATATGGATCTCTTCCAATTGGTTAACAATTCCAAATCTCCCAGTTGGTTAGCTTCCAAATTGGTAGCTGTTTTCCAAATTTCTTGGCATAGATGGGTGAGCGCTACCAGTACTTTATTAGTTTGTTTAAATTTTTCTATTTGTAATCTGTCAGTTTCTGGAAACTTGTTTTCCACCAACACCTTCAATGCAGCTTGGACATCTTCCTTCAGTATCATCCGTTCTTGGTCATTTTAACCTTTTGAAAGGGTTGAACATAGATCATTTCTTTTTGGTACAGTAACTCTGTGTAGAGCTTCTACCTTCTTTTGATGCTTGCTGCATCATTCAATATTTTGCCCATGTTGTTGTTGTTAAGTACCATCAAGTTGGTTCTGACTCATAGAGACCCTGCATAGGATTTCTGGTGAACTTGACCCTGTGGTTCAAACCAACTTTGCAGTCCAGCACATTAACCTGCAGCACCACACCAGAACTCAGTATAGAATCCTTCAATATTTCAAGTCAAGGCTTGAATTTTTATTGAGTTCTCTCATCTTGAGAAATGCTGAGTGTGTTCTTCCCTTTTAGTTTTCTAACTCCAGATCTTTAGCACATTTCATATGATTCCTGATTTTGTCTTCTCGAACTTCCCTTTGAAATTTTCTGTTTAGCTCTTTAATTTCCTCATTTCTTGCATTCGCTTTAGCATCTGTACACTGGAAAGCAAGCTTCAGAGTCTCTTCTGGCATCCATTTTGATCTTTTCTTAATTTCCTATCCTTTTAATGACCTTTTGATGTATGATGTTCTTGATGTAATCTCACAACTCTTCTGGTCTTCGGTCATTAGTGTACTTGTTTTAATTTTCTTCAGCCTCAGTTTGAATTTGCATATGAGCAATTGATGGTCTGTTCCACAGTGTGCACATGGCCTCACTTTGGCTGATGATGTTGTGCTTTTCCACTGTCTCTTCCCACAGATGCAGTCAGTTTTATTTCTGTGTATTCCATCTGGTGAGGTCCATGTGTATACTCACTTATATATATTGTTTAAAAAGGTATTTACAATGAGTAAGGCATTAGTCTTGCAAAATTGTGTCATACCATCTCCAGCATCATTTCTGTCACCAAGGCCATATTTTCCCAACTACTGATCCTTCCTCTTTGTTTCCAACTTTCACATTCCAATCACCAGTAATTTTCAATACAGCTTGATTGTATGTATGTTTGATTAATTTCAGACTGAAGAAGTTGGTAGAATTTTTTAATTTCATCATCACTGGTTTTGTGGTTCATGCATAAATTTGAATCATAGTGGTATTTACTGGTCTTCTGTATTGCTTTTGTTGTTAATTGCCTTCAAGTCATTTCCAGCTTATAGTGACTCTGCATAGGCTGGTGAGTTTTAACTGCTGACCTTGCTGTTCAAATTGACCTTGTAGTCTAGGTCTTCCTTGTAGGGATAGGGATATTATCCTATCACAGATAGTGTTATACTTCAAGATTTATCTTGAAATATTCTTTTTTATAATGAATACTACACCATTCCTCTTAAATCTGTCATTCCTGGCATAGTAAACCATATGATTGTCACATTCAAAATTACCAATACCAGCCCATATCATCTCTCTAATGCCTTGGATATGGATCTTTATGTATTGCATTTCATATTTGACAGTTTCACATTTTCCTAAATTCATACTTTATATGTTCCATGTTCCAGTTATTAACTCATTTTGAGTTGTTCCCCATCAGCAAATGAAGGTCTTGAAAGCTTTATTCCATTCATGCCATCACAAGTCAAGTCGACTTGAAGGAGGAAGCGTTTTGAATGCCTTCCAACCTGAGGTCTTGTCTTCCAGCACTTTCTCTGACAGTGGTCTGCTGCTATTCATAAGGTTTTCAAGTTTGAGCACTGAAAAGAACTATTTCTGCTGTTATTCATAAGGTTTTCAGTGACAAAACATTCAGAAGTAGTCCACCTCTCCTTTTTCTTAGTCTGTCTTAGTCTCAACGGAAACCTATCCACCGTGGGTGATATCTCCTGGTATTTCAAATACTGGTGGCATAGCTTCTAGCATCATAACATGTAATTGACCGTAGTACAACAAACTGACAGATGAATGGTGGGCATATGTCCATAATTGTAAATATAATATAGTGCCTCTTGGTTCTTTTGCTTAGGTTTCCATTTCCTAATGCAGTCTAGATAGCTCCACTCTTTTATAAAATGGGCAAACCTGCCTAACATGGAAAAAATAAACAAAATATTTTTCCAGGTGAGAATAGAATGGTAAAAGGCATGTATTTGATGCCAGTTCTGACTCTGACCATCACTAGCTGTGTAATAGTGGACAAATTTCTTAATATAACTAAGATCATTTTTCTCATTTACACCTCCCTGGGCCGTGCTGAAGTTTAAATGACATCCGCTTACAACACTGAGCACAGGGTTCGGCACACAAAAAAGTACAATTAGTATCAGCTACTATTAATCTATTCCAAGCATGACTAAATTTGTTTCCTGGGCATGAAGGTGAAATACGCTCATGAAATATATTGAATTTTGGCAGAATTCCACATGCTGGTCCTCTATTCGCATCCTTTCCTCAATAAAAATCTCCCTCTGGATAGCAATTTACAGTTTAATATCCACTTTTTCTAATAGTGTACTTTTTCCATCTGCCTTTTATTCTGTGTTTCTTTCTGTATACCACACAGCTTTAACCCAGGCCCCAATATTTTGTAGGCTAGCTAAAAGTAGAGAGGATGGAGCATTGACTATTTGTCAATGCTCCAAACTTGAGCAACATTTCCTAAATATGTAGCTAATTAACGACTTAACTTTTCCCTTGATAGGTCCTCACCATGTTGTTAGGCGCTGTCCAGTTGGTTTCGGTTCTGACTCATAGCGACTCTAGGCACAACAGAAGGAAGCACTGCCCAGTCCTGTGCCAACCTCACAATTATTGTTATGTTGTAGCCCATTGGTGTTGTCACTGTGTCAGTCGATCATGTTGGAGGCCTTCCTCTTTTTCGCTGAGGCTCCACTTTACAAAACATGATGTCCTTCTCCAAGGACCGATTCCTCCTGATAATATATCTGAAAGTACTGAAAGACAAAGGCTTGCCATCCTGACTTTTAAGGCACATTCTGGCTGTACTTCTTCTAAGGCACATTTGTTTGTTCTTTTGGCAGTCCATGGTACTTCTAATATTCTTCTCCAACATCATAATTCAAATGCATCAATTATTCTACACTCTGAACGTATTCACTGTCCAACTTTCACATGTACATGAGGCTATTGAAAATGCCGTCGCTTGGGTCAGGCACATCATAATCCTCAAACTGTACCATAGGGCAGTGGTTTCCAAAGAATTTTAGGCACCTCAAGCTCTGAAGAAATCCTTGCAGACAAGTCAAACATGTAAGACAGATAAAAGAGGAGTTGAGTAGATTGAAGGGGTAAGCCCTGTCCCTCTAGCCCCTGCCAGCTGCAGAAATGACAGTTTTTTTTTAAGTGCCTGGACTTGTAAGATGGGTACGATCTGAATGGACAGACAAGAGGGAGGAAGGCAGTCCAGGTAGAAGGAAGGGTAAGAAGAATTTTGATAAGCAATTAATATGTCTAATAATTAACAATGAGAATAATTCATTTCTAATTAGTTAAGCAGGGCCTTCCTTGTAAAATACCTAATGGAGAAATTGACTGCATTTAGTTTCCAAACCAACTAGTTCCTGAATATTGGAAGCCTGATGAAATTTAGGGTAAAAGCCCTAAATCAAGACAGATAGGAAACTTAAGGCTTCAGTCAAATAACGTCTCTTGCTCTTGTGATCTTCATTTCAGAATCATTTCAAGTAGTCGTGAGAGGAAATGGCTTTCGGCATGCCCGCAACGTGGACAGGGTCCTCTGCAGCTTCAAGATCAACGACTCAGTCACACTCAGTAAGTCTTGCCAAGTTTGAGGCATATGCTCCAGAGAAAGGCATTCCTAGCCCTCTCTTACAACAACATGAGACTATACTGAAAAGGGTCTTCCCTGATGAAAAGTCCTCCCACAAGGGCATAGCTAGCCCCAACAGTGCCTTTGTTCCAATTGGAAAAAGTACTCTGTTGGGCAGACACAGTCTGTGGATAAGGCTGGATTTGAGCCTTGCGTTTGTTTCCTGTTGTTAAGCACTGTCGAGTCCGGTTCCAACTCATGGCAACCCTGTATAGGGTTTCCGAGGAATGGCTGATGGGTTTGTACTGCTGATCCTGTGATTCTTAGTCTGCTACTGATCCTACAGCGCCGTCCACCCCACCACACCCCTAAATCCATTGTATTAGTTTCCTAGTGTTATTGTAATGTTGTTGTTGTTGTTAGGTGCCATAGAGTCGGTATCGACTCAACGACTCTATGCACAGCAGAACGAAACACTGCCCGATCCTGAGCCAACCTCACTATTGTTGCACGCTTGAGTCCATTCATGCTGCTATTGTAATAGAATACCACAAATGGGTTCCTTTAAAGAATAGAACTTTCTTTTCTCACAGTTCAGGAGGCCAAAAGTCCAAATTCAGGGTGTGACTCTACTCAAAGTGCAGGGAGGTCCTACTTTGTCTATTTTAGCTTCTAGTTACCAACAGTCCTTGGAGTTCCTGGACTTGTACATTCGTCTGCCTCTGTCATCAGATGGTGTCGGTCGTTCCTCTCTGTCTCTGAGACTGTTCTGGGCTATTGATAACTCAGAAGTGATTAGATATACGACCTACCCTATACTGGTATGGACAACAACATAACAAAAGAAATATCAGGCGGGACCAGTCCCTGGAGAAGGACATCGTGCTTCGTGCTTGGTAAAGTGGAGGGACAGCAAAAAGAAGGGGTCCCACAATGGGATGGTTTGGCACAGTGGCAGCAACATTGGGCTCAAGCATAGCAGTAATTGTAAGGATGGCGTGGGACCAGGCAGTGTTTCGTTTGTTCTGTTGTACAAAGGGTTGCTATGAGTCGGAACCAACTCAATGGCACTTAACAGAAACTACAAACCTCCATTTCCAAACAGGGTTGTATCTCTTATGGATACTGGGATTGACATTTTAACACATATATTGGGGAGACTCTAATCCACAACAAGCCCCAGTCCCCCACAACCTACCTAGTCACAGTAGCAGCCCTCCACTAGCCCTCAGGAGTCATCGGGGGTTCGTTTCCTAGACTAGTAACATCTGCACTGTCTTTCTCTCTCAAGTGGTGGTGGTGTTTTTGTTAAGTGTTGTCAAGTGTGTTCTGACTCATAATGACTCTGTATAGGGTTTCCAAGTAGCGGCTAGTGAGTTTGAACTACCAACCTTGTGGTTAGCAGCCCAGTACTTATCCTACATTGCCACACCAGGATTCCAGTAACGGTGTTGTTGTTGTTGTTGTTGTTGTTGTTGTTGTTGTTAAGTGCCTTTGAGTCGGTTCTGACCCATAGCAACTCTGTATAGGGTTTCCTAGGAGCAGTCGGTGAGCTTGAACCACCGACATTGCAGTTCAAATGGCTTTTCAGTCTGGCACATTAACCCACAGCGCCCCACCAGGACTCCAGTGATGATGTTAGAGCTCATTAATTAGAACATAGGAAACTTAGCAGTTCTTAACCAAGTACTGGGTTCTCTTAAGGATAAAAGTGAAAAATAGATAGTCCAAACCTATAAATTCTGAAAAAGTCAAAAGCCAAAGTATGAGTCTGGCATGTGTAAATTTTTTTTTTTTTAATCTGATGATTCTTGCTTGATGTAGCCAAGAAACACTCATCATGGTGAGTCCCTTCTATGAAATACTGGACTGTGAAAGTAAAACTAAGTGCATTTCATGTAAAGAATGAATTATCATAACATTGACATTCTCCAAAGACTTGGGTAGCAAACACGTCTCCATTTGAAGAAATGTCTGATTCTTGTAGCTGTGCAGGGGAGATGGACAGACTAACTCTGGAAGGACAGGTGCCAGCAACTCGGTTATATTGCTTACAGCTGTCATTCTTCACACGGACAACTATGGGTTCAGTATTTTTACCATGACAGTAATAGTACAGTAATAATAATGCCACATCTTCCATGTGCTTGTCTAAACACGTCTCATCTTTCTGCTGCAACAGCCCTGAGTGATAGAAAGAGCAAGCAGGGCTGGGAGGAAGCTCCCTTTGTCTATCGATGAACCACTCCTCCCACCAGGCTCTTCACTCTGCTGTCACATCTGGTCTTTCTAATATGCTGGTGAAGTTAATACTGTCCTGTTTTCACTGGAGAATAATTGAGGAGTGTGCCAAAATAAAGCCCACTTGAATATTTAAACAGACACAAGCAATAGCTTCCTCATAAACATCTGGAATTTCTGGTCTTGGGTTAATTCCAAACATTTGAAACATTCAACCTAGTTTTCTTAATGTTTAGAAATGCTCTCACATAAACAATGAGTACATACTTTTTTGTGTTAGATATTTTTATTTTAAACCATCCCTAGGTTGTACAAATGGATAGCAAACTTGGTTACTAACTGAAAAGTTAGAATCACGTCTTCCCAGAGGTGCTTCAGAAGAAAGTCCTGACCATCTATGTCCTAAAAATCAGCCACTGAAAATCCTGTGGAGCTCATTTCTACTCTGATACACAAGAGGTTGATTCTGACTTGACAGCAACTGGTTTTTCTTTGTTTGTTTGTTTTGGTTGTACTGTGAAGTGGGACTTGGCGCCCAGACAAAATCTTTCCTTTGTTTCTTTTTTCACTCTGATGAAGTTTACCTTCAGTGTCTGTCTTTACCTGCAGTCTCAAATCTTAGATCAGAAACTTCATAGGGTTAAACTCACATATATCAATACCCTTCCAAAGAAGACTTCCCAGGCAAGCTGAGCTTTCAGAAGCCTCCACTGATGATAGATGCAAGTGGAGTGAGGCGAGAGATAATCTGCCCAATAGTCCATCACTTAAAAGGTTACACAGTCAAAATGAGATGAAATGAAAATTCACTATGGATTTAAAGAGTGATGTTTGGAAAACTTATTTTCCGTGATACCTTATTTATTGGGAAACAAGGCCGTCCATTTCTCCTTCCTCTCTTTCTTTCCTTATATTTGCAAACACACACATAGAACCTCCCCATGTCACTTAGGTTCAAAAGGAATAGAGGCTGTTGGGGTAGATACTTGGCTTCGATGACAAACCTAATTGTGCTTTCACTACAATGCTGAGAGTTTGGAGAAGAGGAAGCCAGTGAACAGATTAAATTATACACGGCTAGCAACACTTCTGAATTCAAACATGTAGCTATTAAAAATCATTCTGACTGAATGGGAAATACTCAAGTTTGAAGGAAACATTTGGCTGTATTTATTAGTCACCTATTCATTTCTATTCAGCAAATCATATGAGCAAGGAACTATGGAGAATAGAAAAGATACACAAATGTTTAAATGCAGCATGTCCTTAATATTTTTATCAGCCTTATGACTTTAACAGTCTCTATTGATTCCTCCCCATAAAAGAAATTAAATTTAGTTTCTTTTACTTTTTCCATTTCCCTTCCCTACCACTAGATTCCAAGTTTTAAAATGGCATCTGTTTTCATTTTCATATTATATATTCTGCCTTTCATGATGTTTTTGCTAGATGTTGTATTAGATGTTGTAGCAAAAAGAGAAAATTAGTACTAATAACATAAAAAAAAAAAAAAAGTAATTGAAGGGCCCAATGTAGAATGAAGCTAGGACTGTGTTAGTTTTAGATTATTCAAATATAATGTGGGCCTCAGATTCTGCAGCAGTAAATAGCATAGTAGCAAATTGTATGAAGCAAAAATTATAAAGCATAAGAAAAAAAAATTAGATATATTAGTGGGAAATATTGATAGGAGTTTACAAGTCTTTGAATGAGCTTATTAATACAAATTAAAGATATAGAGGAAATAGAAAAAGTTCTCAGAAAAACTCTTATTATCTTTTCATTCTATTTTTCCGTGATCTTTTTGAAGCCCTCTCATATATATTTTCATATATATATTAAAATTTTTAAATAGCTAGGCCCTTCTTAAAAAGGTATGGTAGTAAGACACAAGGTCTGTGGTTCAAACCCACTAGCCAGTCCTCAGAAACTTTATACAGGGTCTCTTTAAGTTGGAACTGAATTGATCACACTTAACAGCAATACACTGGTGTGGCGCTGTGGGTTAATGTGCCAGAATGCAAAGTCATTTGAACCAGAAGGTCGGAGGTTCAAGCTCATCCGTCACTCTTCGGAAACCCTATAGAGGGTCGCTATGGGTCGGAACCGACTCGGTGGCACTTAACAACAACAAAAAACAAGACACACAAAAAATGCTGATATGTGAATTATTTGGTAGTTTACATGAGAGAACATTAGTTTTACATTTATCCTATCTTGTTTCATTTCATTACAATGATTACAAATCCCTGCATGCATCATCAAACAACCAAAGGGTACACTCCGCAAGCCTGCCCCTGGCTGCTAGCACATAGCCCCTCTCCCTCCCATAGTCCAGAGTCCCCAGCCACTCCATCTCTCCATGTCATTATCTCTGCCTCCATCTCTACATCACTGCTTCCTCCATCTCTACATCACTGCTTCCTTGGGCAGGGAAAAATTCCAACAGTCCATTTCACCAGTTATGTGACATTGAACGAAAAGATCTACCAGTGCTGTGCAATAGGCCTGCCTGTGTTTATGAGAATGTTGTATCATGGCCTCAGATATGCTAACATTAGCTACATGTTACTGTTCAACACATGAACACTGGCGAGTGTGACTAAAAAGCTGATTTTTTTATTTTCCTCATTTTAATTAATATAAATTTAAATGTTGTTGTTAAGTACCGTGGAGTCAGTTCTGACTCATAGCGACCCTGTACAGGGTTTCCGAGGCTGTAAATCTTTTCGGGAGCAAAAAGTCTCACATTTCTCCCACA